GGTGGGGGGGGTTCTCCTGGCTTGGGTCGGCCCCTTTGGGTTAAATTTTAGCGATTTAGGGAGTCGAAAAGGAAGCGAAAGGTGCTGACGGAGGTGGCCCTGCTCGGGTCAGCGCGTTCTCCGCCTGGGGGTTAATTTTTGATGGGGTCAAACCAACGTTGATGGGGCCAAAGGGACACGTCGGCAGCGGGAGCAAGGGCCGGGGTGGGAGGAAGTCGGGGAAGGGGCATCATGGCGGCAGCCCCACGGGTTGCTGGGAGGGGGCTGGGGGTGGGATTTGGGAGGTCCTTGTCCTTCCGCTGCCTTCTCTGGGATTTGGGGGACGCTTCTCCCGGGACAAGGGGTTATTGGGTGTCGTCTTGTTGGAGGTGACCTCCGACATGGGGGTTCTTGGGCATCGTCTCGTTGGAGGTGACCTCAGGGACAAGGTTCTTGGGCGTTGTCCTATTGGAGGTCACATGGGGATCAAGGTTATGAGGTGTGATTGGAGGTGACCTCCAACATGGGGGTTCTTGAGGTCACCTCTCATTGGAGGTGACCTCAGGGACAAGGTTCTTAGGCGTTGTCCTATTGGAGGTCACTTGGGGGACAAGGTTATGAGGTGTGATTGAAGGTGACCTCCAACATGGGGGTTCTTGGGTGCCATCTTACTGGAGGTGACCTCGGGGACAAGGTTATGAGGTGTCATCTTATTGAAGGTGACCTCCAACATGTTCTTGGCTGTCATCTTATTGGTGGTGACCTCAGGGACAAGGTTATGAGGTGTCATCTTATTGAAGGTGACCTCCAACGTGGTGTTCTTGGGGCGTCACGTTATTGGTGGTGATCTCAGGGACAAGGTTGTGAAGTATCATTGGAGGTGACCTCCAACATGGAGGTTCTGAGGTGCCATCTTATAGATGGTGACCTCAGGGACAAGGTTGTGAGGTGCCATCTTATTGGTGGTGACCTCAGGGACAAGGTTATGAGGTGTCATCTTATTGAAGGTGACCTCCAACATGGTGTTCTTGGGTGTTATCTTATTGGAGGTGACCTCAGACATGGTTATTGGGTGTCATCTTATCGGAGGTGACCTTGGGTGGGCTCAGATAACACCCCAAGACGCCGTCCCCAGCAGAGCTGCTTTATTCCTCCGAGGACTTTCCCTGCCCCACACCGGGAGGTCACCAGCTGGTGAATTTGTACCCGCCCCCAAAATGAGGCTGCGGGGACCCGTGGGGGAGGGTGGTTGCTGGTGGCCGGGCGCAGGGTGCTGTCCTCCCCCACCCCATGGTCCTTCAGGCCTCCTTCTGTGGGGCCTTGTCCTGGGGCTGGAGGGGGATCTTCTCTTTGGGGTCATCCGTCTTCTTCCGTTTGGCCCTGGAGGGAGGAAGATGAGGAGGAGGAGGGTCTGTGGGGCGTGGCAGGGTGGGAAGCAGCCCAGCTTGCACCGTGGCCACCCACCTGTCCAGCCATTCAGCCACTCATATCACTCGTTCTTCTGCCAGCGCACCCATCCACTTGTCCCTCAACACATCTGTCTGTCCAGCCATCCAAAACCCCTCAACCGTCCATCTGTCCTTCATCCAGCCATCCATCCATCCTCCATCCATCCTCCATCCATCCATCCTCCATCCATCCATCCTCCATCCATCCATCCTCCAACTATCCATCCTCCAACTATCCATCCTCCAACCATCATCCATCCATCCTCCATCTATCCATCATCTGTTCATCCTCCAACCATCCATCCTCCAGCCATCCATCCTCCAACCATCATCCATCCATCATCATCCATCCATCATCCATCCATCCATCCTCCATCTATCCATCATCTGTTCATCCTCCAACCATCCATCCTCCAACCATCATCCATCCATCATCCATCCATCTATGCACCCATCCATCATCCATCATCCATCCATCTATTCATCCATCCATCATCCAACCATCACCCACCCAAAACCCCACCCCCTTTGTCTACCAACCTACCCCTCCATCCATCACCCTATCCATCCAGTTGTTCATCTCTCCGTCCACCCACAAAATCCAGGCATTCATCTACCGCTAGATCCACCCGTCCATCCCTCCACCCGTCCATCCCTCCACCAGTCCATCCCTCCACCCGTCCCTTTGGCCCTCCCTCCCCATGCCCACCTGCTCTCCACCTCCTCAATGGTGTCGGGCAGCGGCATGTTGAGGGTCTCCGGGAGGAAGCCGGCCGCCACGGCCGCCACCACGGGGGCCACCCCGTAGACCGCAGGGGGCAAGAAGGGGTAGTACTCATCCATCATCTTCACCAGCGGTGCCACGATGCCACCCACTCGGGCCATGGTGCTGCCAAAGCCCAGCCCGGTCTGCCTGCCGTGGCGGGGGGGTCAACATGGGACGGGGACCACCTTGGGGGTGTCATGGGTGGGTGATGAGGGACCTGCCCCCACGGTGGGGGTCGTGGGGAGGGGGTTTTACCTGATGGGAGTGGGGTAGAGCTCGGTGGTGTAGAGGAAGACGCAGTTGAAGGAGGCGGAGAGGCAACCCTTGCCGATGACGGCCAGCGCCGTGCGCACCGTCTGCAGCTCTGGGGCAGAGAGAGGGATGGGGTGGACTCTGCTTGGGGCAGGAGCCACCTCGGGGGTGGGGTGATGGTGGGAAGGAGAAAGAAGGGAGGAGGTAGGGATGGATTGAGGTAAGTGATTGGGTGGATGGATGGTTGGATGGAGACGTGGATGGATGGTTGGAGATGTGGATGGATTGAGGTAAGTGATTGGGTGGATGGATGGTTGGATGGAGACGTGGATGGATGGTTGGAGATGTGGATGGATGGAGACGTGGATGGATGGAGATGTGGATGGATGGTTGGAGACACGGATGGTGGGATGGATAGTTGGAGACACGGATGGTTGGATGGATAGTTGGAGACACGGATGATTGGTTGGAGACATGGATGGATGGAGGGATAGATGGCTGGAGATGTGGTTGGAGACATGGATGGATGGAAGGAGGGATGGATGGATGGTTGGAGACATGGATGGATGGTTGGAGACATGGATGGACGGTTGGAGACACGGATGGACGGATGGATGGATAAGTGGGTGATGAGATGGTGAGTCACCACCCTTGGCAATATTCAAAAGCCATCTGGACGTAGTTTTGGGTGACCAGCTCTAGGTGGCCCTGCTTGAGCAGGAGGGTTGGACCAGATGCCCTCCAGAGGTCCCTTCCAACCTCAACCATTCTGTGGGTAAGTGAGGGGGGTGGGTAGGTGGGTGGTGAGATGGATGGAGAGCTGGATGGATGGAGAGATGAGAGCATGGCCGGAGAGGGAGGGCGCTGCGTTGTTCAATGGGTGGAGAAGGGAGGGATGGGTGAAGAGCAAAGCAGAGTTGTGTGATGGACCGGTGGGGACATGGGTGGCTGGACAGAGCAGTGCAGAAGACCCCCATCACCCCATCGCACCCACCTGTGGAGACAAAGATGTTGGCAATGATGACCAGCCCTGCCAAGAAGAGGGCCACCATGAGTGAGACCCGCCGGCCGATGTAGCTCAGGGAGATGGTCACCACCACTTTGGCCGGGAAGTCAACGGCGCCGAAAATCACCTGGATGAGGTAAATGCTGACACCAAAGTTTTGCAGATCCATGGCCAGCCCATAGTAGGAGAAACTGATGGAGAACCTGGAGCAGGGCAGAGAGAGGCATGGACCTTCAGGTGGGTGTCCTCCCTGGGGTGTCACCATCGCATGGGACAGGGCAGGGATCTCAGATGGAGGAGAAGAGGGCTGCAGTACAGTTGGGTGGCTGGATTCAGTGATTGTCCATCTTGCTGTTCATCCATCCATACGTCCGACCAACTGTCCAACCATTCCATCCATCCGTCCGACCATCCGTCCAACCATCCATCCAACCATCCAACCATCCATCCAACCAGCCATCCATCCATCCATCCGTCCGACCATCCGTCCAACCATCCATCCAACCATCCAACCATCCATCCAACCAGCCATCCATCCATCCATCCAACCAACCATCCATCCATCCATCCAACCATCCATCCAACCATCCAACCAACCATCCAACCATCCATCCATCCATCCAACCATCCTTCTAACCATCCCTCCCTCTAACTCTCCACCCACCTCTCCATCCCTCCACCCATCCCTCCCTCCTCCTCCTCATCCCCACCAGAACTTCCCCAGCCCAGCCCCACCAGACGATGGAGAGGCAGAAGAAGATGTGGCGGATGACTGGGGTCCGGACCAGGTCGGAGATGGTGTAGGAGGACTTCAGACCAGCCAATTCCTCCTTCATGTTGGACCTCAGGATCTGGGAGAGGGAGAAACGGGAGAGGTTGGTGGGGGACAGGGGTGGGAAATCAGCCCCCCCCCCCCCCCCATGGGGCCACCATACCTCCACCGTGATCTTCTCTCCTTCCTCCTTCCTCTTGTTAATCCTGGCCACTCGCTGCAGGACCTTCACGGCCCTCTCGGCCTTCCCCGAGAGCACCAGCCAACGGGCGGACTCAGCCAACCACCTGCAGTCAGCGAGGGGGAAACTGAGGCACGGCGAGAGCCCCCGCATGGCCTTCCCCAAGGGACCCAAACACCCTACCAGGAGTAGAGGAGGAAGACGAAGAAGGGCAGAGAGACGGTGAGCTGGAGCCAGCGCCAGTGGGGGACAGCGTAGGCCTAGGATCTGGCCCAGGGTGTAGGCGAAGCCGGTGATGGCCACGGTGATGGCGCGGTAGGGCGTGGGGATCCACTCCACCACTGCAAGGGACCAGGGGGGACACGGCTGACTGGGTGTGTCCCCCCCCCTCGGTGACCCTCCTTGTGAATGTGGCCTCCCCATCATGTCCAGATGCATCCGCACCACAGGGCCCCATCCATGGCCATGGTGATGTCCCCATCAGTGACCGCTGGGATGTCCCCATCAGCAGCCATAGGGACGTCTCCATCTGTAGAGAGGGGGATGTCCCCAACCATGGCCGTTGGGGACATCCGCATCCATGGCCATGGCGATGTCCCTCTCCATGGCCATGGTGATATCCCCATCCATGGCCATGGTGATGTTCCCATCCAATGGCCATGATGATGTCCCCACCCATGGCCATTGGAACATCCATGGCCATTGGGTCACCCCCCCTTCACAGCCATGCCGATTGTCCCCACCCGG